GGCTGGGGGGTGAAGGGATTGAGAGCAGCCCTGCAGAGAAGGACTTGGGGGTACTGGTGGATGAAAAGCTGGACATGAGCCGACAATGTGCGTTCGCAGCCCACAAAGCCAACCGTATCCTGGGCTGCATTAAAAGAAGCATGGCCAGCAGGTCAAGGCAGGTGATTCTCCCCCTCTACTCTGCTCTGGTGAGATCCCACCTGGAGTACTGTATCCAGCTCTGGGGTCCCCATTACAAGACAGACATGGACCTGTTGGAGCAGGTCCAGAGGAGGGCCACAAAAAGTGGTCAGAGGGATGGAACGCCTTTCCAATGATGAAAGGCTGAGAGAGCTGGGGTTGTTCAGCCTGGAGAAGAGAAGGCTCCAAGGAGACCTTATTGCAGCCTTTCAATATATAAAGGAGGCTTATAAGAAAGACTTTTTTTACCAGGGCCTGTAGTGACAGGGTAAGGGGCAATGGTTTTAAACTGAAAGACAGTAGGTTTAGATTGGACATAAGGAAGAAATTTTTTATGGTGAGGGTGGTAGGACACTGTAACAGGTTGCCCAGAGAAGTTGTGGATGCCCCATCGTTGGAAGTGTTCAAGGTCAGGTTGGACGGGGCTTTGAGCAACCTGATCTAGTGGAAGATGTCCCTCCCTATGGCCGGGGCTTGGACTAGATGATCTTTGAAGGTCCCTTCCAACCCAAACCATTCTGTAATTCTTTTAAGGGTTGGATGGGCTTTTTTGCTGTACAGAGCAAATGTTGAGTCTTAGTCTGACAGCAGTGCTTTGGAATTAGCTACCACTAATTCCTATGCTTCCATTCTTCAATTATAAATTCAGGTTGCCCACTGTCTATGGCCGGGGCTTGGACTAGATGATCTTTGAAGGTCCCTTCCAACCCAAACCATTCTGTAATTCTTTTAAGGGTTGGATGGGCTTTTTTGCTGTACAGAGCAAATGTTGAGTCTTAGTCTGACAGCAGTGCTTTGGAATTAGCTACCACTAATTCCTATGCTTCCATTCTTCAATTATAAATTCAGGTTGCCCACTGTCTTTTGTATTAGTGCCTTGCCACTGCCAGCATGGGAGCCAGGCATAAGCACCCTGCAGGTTACAACAGAGCTGAAGCCACAAGTTGACGATTCCCATCCTCTGTATCTTTATATTTTCCTATGATAAAAATGGAGTTATGGATGTTCTAGCCAATTGTGTTTGCCACAGCTGAGGATAGAAATGAGGAAGACCTTATGCACTTCAGTGTTTTAACTGCTCAACTTTCTGTCTTGTCTGGAATTTTATATGTATGTATGTGTTTATGCTTTTGCAAAGGTTTTTGAAATGGATATGGTAGACAATCTTAGTAGACAACTTGTGTAACTTGAAGACTCTTTGTCTTTTTAGGGGGGGAGTTTCTGTAGCTTTTGCGTACATGACAGTTTAATACGGCAGTTTAATTTTTTAATTTTAAAATGTAATCTTACCTTTTCAGTCAGAGATGGAGAAGCCTAGAGGAAGGAAGAAAGCAGCTATAACAGATTCGGAAGAGAAACTAAGCATAGATGACCTGAATAAACTGGGTCAAGAGCAGAAACTTAGAGGTAGTCAACGGGGAAGGAAGAGACCTGCAGTTGTTTCAGAATCTGATGAAACACAATGGCAAGAGGAGAAAAGGCTAAAAGAAGATGTAATAGAAAGTGAGGATGAACAGAACAGTCCACCAAAGAAAGGGAGAAGAGGACGCCCTCCCAAAGCAAATAATGGGGGAACACCAAAGGAAGAACCAGTAGCAAAGTCATCAAAACGGAGCAAAAAAAAACAAACGCCAGCAGCTGCAGCAGAAGAGGAGGAGGAGGAGGAAGAAAGGCAAACTGAAAACATTGAACAAAAACCAAAAGGCAGGCAAAATAGGACACCGAAAAGAACACCGCAAAGGTAAGTCCGTCTTCTTGTAAGCTGCATCTTTTTTATCCTTGGACATTAGTTATAATTTGATACTTTGCAATTTGGGTCTTCCTCAAAACAGAGCAGAACCATCTGAAACTAGTACAGTTGAATCAGCACAGTCTACGCCACAGAAAAGACGAGGAAGGCCATCAAAAACACCACCATCACAGCAAAAAAAAGTGTAAGTGGTGAATATTTTCTAAATTTGTGTTTAGTGAAAATTAAAAATATGCCTCTGTGCGCCCAAACAATCATTTACTGAAAATATTTCAGAATACTTTAATTGACAGTTAAGAAAATAAATTGTCATTGTTATTTCTAAAACGTTTTCCCTAGCTGCTTCTCCTAGAGCATCTCAAACCAGAGCAAGAGGCTACGAGTCAGTTTAACGTGCTCAGGTAGCATATACGTAGCTTTGCTCTTCTAGGAGAAAACTCAATAAAGCACGTGAGGGCCTTGAAGATAGGGCTTTATTAGGACTTCAAGGAGTGAAAAGTGCTCCCGTTTGTTTTGGATAGGGAGGAAGAATCAAATTGTTACTGTGGTGAAACAGTATTGTGGAGAATAAGTTTATTCTGATTCTCCTTAAATTAATGTTCACTTACTTTCTAATTTGTGGCCGCCTTACTATCCACTTCATTCGTTTCCAAATGAATAAGGATAGTAGCTGTTGAAAATTCTGAGGCATATTAAGCTCCAAAATAAAGGTAAACTCTGTGGCTAGCTTCATTTTCTTGTGCCTACTGTAGGACACTACAGGTATCTCTACCTTTTCTGTACATGTACATGCAATGTATGTAAAGCAGAAGTGTACAAGTAGACAGGACTTACTGGCCTGCTGTTTTGGGGGGGGTTTTGTTTGGTTGGTTGTTTTTTTTCCCCCCATACCAGAGATCTTTGCCTGAACAAGCTTGTACCCTCAATTCAAATTCTAGTTTCACACTGGATTGCGTGTTCTGGCATTTTGCACGCACAATATCCTGACCTTTCCAGTGTTCTGTTTCCCTACCTCGTGTCAGACCTCTCCTGCGCATTTACTCTGTAACCAGAAACACAGGTCCCAACACTGTCTTGGTTACTACAGAAGTCACTGCTACATATGCAGTGGAACAAGAGTTGGAAGCTGCTACTGCCATGCAGAGAAGACATGCCAACAAGTTCTTGTTGTGTGATATGCTATGTGGCATTTGTCAAAGATGCCCTCAGTAGCTTCTGATTCAATTCTCAGTGAAATCAGTGAACTCAGTGTTTCTTTACCCTGTTTTAAACAGAAAGTAAACCGTATCAGAAACATGATCAGTAACAGGCATAGCTCTTGTTCGTGTGTGCGTACATTGTTCCTGGCATGAGAAGCCCAAGTTGTTTCAGGGTTCAGAGTTGTTTGGTCTATTCCAGATGTCGTCCAAAAACATATTGTGTGTATTTTTTATTTTTTGTGACCAGACGACCCAAATTTTGACTGTCCTTTTTCCAAATCTGCAAGAAAAAGGTGAGACCGCAGTAATTCCTCAGTCTTCAAAGCAGATTGTAGTCAGACCTTTCTCCCTTTTCTACATACATATCTACAGCAGTTTTACTGAAGGGAGTTGATAGACTGAGCAGCACTGTGTACCACAAGATAGAATATATTTAATCCAAATGCTTAAAGCTTTCTGGGCTCCTTGGGGATGGATTTGGCATAAGAATTTGGGATTTTACCTATGATGTGATAGTGTATAACCTATTTCTGATAGCTAATTGGGTTACCAATTAGCATATGTGAACTGGCTTATTTTTGTAATGCGTGAAAAGATGCACCTAGCTTGTGAATAATTCTGTTTCTTTTTCAATTCTGTTGCTTCTATCAGTCATGGAAGGCTTGAGTTGGGCTAATTTGTATTGTTTCTTAAAGGATGTCATGTTGGTTGGTTGGTGCAGAAACCCCCACTATACTATAATTACTATATGCAATTCAGACATTTTATTTTGTACAGATTTTAGTGTGGTTCTCAGGACTGAAAATTCCTACCACATGTGTGGTTTGATGCTGTCAGAAGACAATTGTTTTGGATCTGTATGCCCCCAGTGGGGATTGAAGTGTGTTTGTTGTCTGCCTGGAACAGAATTTCTGGTTTAATTTAATCTGAAAAGTCACCTAGTTTGGGTGCACCAAGACAGCTTTGTGAATCAAACCAATGTGCAGTAAGCAGGATGATTCAGTGATTTGATTCTGAACCATGCTAATGACCCAAACCAAAATGGAAATGTGGGTGCACCTGTGTAGGTTTGAATACATATCTAGTTGGCTTTTTCTTTTTTTTTTTTTAAGGCATGGGGGGTACTAGTTCTCATTTTAAGCAAATGGGTGCTTTTTGCTTGTGATTCAGCTCCTGCAACTAACAAAGACAATTTAAGATATTGTTGACTGATTGTTCTTGATTATCCTGATTAAGGTATTGTTATCCTGATATCCCTAGCTCTTAGCATGAGCTAGCTTGGAAGATTTGCATTTAGTTTCATTATAGTGTTAATTTCATAAATAGCAATATGGGTTCTTCTAGGTCTGTAAAAATATAGATGCAGTTAAAATTTTGTTGTGTATAAACTCATATAGAAATAGAGTACATCTATTAATGGAATTGAATAGAAGGGAAAAAAAAACCCCAAGTATTCAGTCTCTGGCTGTTTTGCTTTTCTTGTTCACTGGTTACTGTTGTGTCAACTCTCTTTGGCCTGTATTCTGGCACTGAAGAGAAAAATCCATCTTGCCTATAGATGCAAAAATTGTTCAACTTTGTACTCCTAGCCCTCTATTCTGGAAAAATTTGGATTTCAAATGCTGTTGTCCAGCCTCCTAGCTTCACTTCTATTCCGTGTATGGATGAACTGGATAGATATATGAGATAGACGTATTAGACAACATGAAATTTTAAGGCTGCTGTTCTTGTAAAGTAGAATGTTTGCTCTCATACGGTTTATACATGTGCAGACCCATGTACTGTGAAACTGATCTTTATTTTTCTTTTGATTGTAGCCGTGCAGGACGTTCCAAACAAGCAGCCAGTAAAGAGAATGAATCTAGCGAAGAGATGGACGTATTTCAGAGTGGTTCACCTGTCAGTGATGATATTCCCCAGGAAGAAGTAATGGAAGAAGAGGAAGTTTCCACAATCAATGTAAGAGAAATGCCTGAGATTTTCTTTGTGAGTCTTTGTTGTGTCCTCTGTGTATTGATGTTCAGAGAATGACTTTTCCTGTTCTTAGAACTTAACCTTCTTCCTTGAAAATGAATGAAGTGGTTGTCAACTGCCACTGTTGCATAGTGGCGCTGCACTGTAATTTCCCAGAGAAGCTGCATTTCTTAGAAAATGTCAGGTTTTGTTAAGTGTCTTAAATTTTCTGTTCTGTATAGCTTTTGTTATCTGTCTGCCTGAGTTGTGTAGTACCTCAAGGGAATTCTTTTCCAGGTAACTCATGCCCTTTCTTCTCAATTGGATTATAATAGTGAATAATGTTTCTTTATACAAAACAGGAACACAAAATGAACAGTATTGGAAAATAAGTATGGAATCTTGGAGCAGAATCCTAAACCAATTTCTTCCTCTTACCAGCATACACAAATATGTTAAAATAAGTTTATTTTTATATTTGTTTCATACAAATACGTTAGTAATGTTAGTAGTAACACTAAAAATGTAACTGTGAATGCCTTCACACTTTTGGACACATCTGATGATTGGAGCATCTGAGTGTATGAAAACTCTGAAAAAGGAAACTAGATTATTTTTGAATAGTTGAAGGACGCAGGCTCAGTAACATCAAAGAAAGTTATGTCTTGGTCATTGACTGAGACTTGTACCTGTGATAAAATCAGTAATGAATGACACTTTATCAGTTACTCAAACATTATTGAGAGAGTAAGCATTTTTTCCATTATAAAATATATTTATTCTTGATTTTTTCAAAACTTTTCTGTAAAAATGTTTAAAATACTTTTTCTCCAAACAGGTCCGTCGCAGAACTTCCAAAAGGGAAAGGCGATGAGTGAGCATGTAGTTATCAGCCTTCCAGGTGAAAGCTTTGAAGAATGCTTTTAATATAAAGCTTGAGACTGAATGAAGCTGTTAGTGCATAAATGGGGTTGCTGAAAAAAAGACAAAACTTATTTTACTTTTACTGCCCCTGCATTTGCAGTCCCTAGGTCACAAGCTTTAGCCACACACATGTTGATATCATTAACTGTGGATTTTTGTGAAGTGTAATGTGCGCTGGCTTTGTAGACATATGAACTAAAGAAGAAAACTGTAAATAGTTCTTTTTTTAATGTTTCTGACTTCTAAAGTGCTTGTATAGCTTTTATCTGCGGCTTTAAACTGACAGTACCCCACTGTTTATTGGATCTATTGATTTAAAAAAGAACAGAGTTTGTTGAAAATTGATCTCAAGCAATATCTGTCAGTGTTCGTATTTGTACTCTTGTTGACATTTAACTGTGAAGAAAAAAAAAAAATATCAGTTGAACAAATAGTGCCACTTTCTTTTGCCACTATTTGTTGAGAAGAAGAAGAAAGAAAAACGGTCTTTGTTTCCTTCATGAATCTAACCTAGTGTTTACCTTTAGGCACCTAACTATCATCAGAGGTGCTAAATTACTTTCTTTTACAGTTGAACAATGTTGGATAGAATAATACAAGAGATGCAAATTGTGAAAGAAGTTGTTTGACTTGTTTTACACCTCAGTATTGATGCCAGACTTTTCTGGACTTCTAGTGGCATTGAAAATTCAAAAAGGATTTAAAATATTTTAATTTTAAAAGTGTGTTATTAAATAATGTACTGAATACCCTACCCATTTTATCTTCCCCTATCAGTTTTTATTAATCTACTGTATCAATAAAATTCTGTAACTGAGTTTTTAATAGTCTAGTATGTTAATGTGTATAGATATTTCCTTCTGAACATGAAGTTCACAAAGAGCAAATTATTACTACATTATAATATGAAATCTGATATATAAACATTAGTGAAAATACAGTTCTTATTACAATGTAAAGTTAATCACAAAGAAAAATTTTATTGATGCAGTGTGTCTTTATAAAGCTGTTCTTGAGAGCCAAGTGTTTTGTATTTTATAGTGAAGTTGCATGTTTATGAAAAATGTGCTGAAAATGGGATGTAATGTTTTTTTGGAAACTAGTATCTAGCAGTAGTATATGGTTAGGTTGCTTCATGAGAGAACCTTTTATTGAGAGTTTATTGTACCGTTTTGTTTTGGTTTTGTTTTTTGAGCCAAATTTTTTTGGTATAAAGAGCTAAGTTTTTGTTCAATAACCAGCTGTTGATTATTGCAGTCAAGGTATTCAAGATTTGAATGAAGCTCCATTTTTATTTTGTGCTACCATAGAGAGGTTGGTTTTTTGGGGTTTTTTTAGGTATAATCTGAAAAAATACAAACAAATACTTAAAGCAGTACCCTGTATGCAGATTTACAGTTTACAAACTGTGTCTTTGAACCAAAATGTATCGGTTACTACACTATGCTTAGCCAAGCACATATTATTTCAGGTGCTGTTCTGCCTCTGGTTCCCTACATGTGAAAAAATCAGTTTCTAACTTAGGAAAATTTTGTGTCATTGAATAATGGAGCATTTTCATATAATCCATTCAATAAATAAGTTATAGTTGCAAGGTGGCCTGTAAAGATAAGAGAAAAGGATAATACTAAACCACAGATTTACCGATTTCTAAACTATAAGATCACTAGGAAAGAAACCTTTAGAATTTTTTCATTATGCATATTTTTTTTTTTGTTACCAATGGAAAAAGATATTATAAACAATTAGATTATTCTGCCTCAGCTTAACTTCCCCCCTGCCCTCCAGTATTCAGCTTTTCAACACTTAAATGTATAGATATGGGGGAAATGCTGCCTAAAAAGGCAATTATGCTTGATTTGAATTGACTTTGAAATAGTTGGCACAATGGAACTGGCTTACTTATGCTTCAGCAGTGCAAATGCAAGTTGTTGGGGTTTTTTTTATCGTATAAAATGATTGAAAGCTAGCTTTATATTTTCCTCTTTGACAGAATTGCACTGAAAACATTTATGGAAGATGTACCTTTAAGTCCATTTTATACAAAAATATGAAAAATTGATGCTGAAACTGCTGCAGACTCTTGAGGCTTTATGGGCATAAACATGGTTAGGTGAAACTTCATTGAATATTGATGCACATTATGATCAGTCATGTTTAATGTAAATTTAAACTATAGGTTTGCAATTTAAATGTTGATTTCTTAGGTTATAATGTGTAATTCATTATTTCTTGAGAAATAGGCACAGCAAATATTTCATTCTTATATTCAAACCTCTTCTAAGTTCATTCTCATCTCATAAAGAAAATGAATATTTTATGTACTAACATTTTGAGATCTGCGTACAGTAGCTACAGTAGAGTATAATTATGTATAAAAGATAAATTGCTAACATTCAGTTAGCATGCTCTTCTGCAATGATGTTACGTTTATAAAAATGTACTGTATTACATTAAAAGATCAAATTGAATTCACTGTAACAAGTTCTAGTATGAAATTTTTATGAGATTACCGAAGTATCTTGCTGTACTTTGCAGCAAATTAAGCTTGTGTTACATTTCCTTTTCTTGCTGCAGTGCAACAGGAAACTTTCAGTGATCTGTAGTTCATATGTAAAATGCAAACAGTGATTGTAATCTTGATACTAGTGTTTAAGAATAATTCACTCTGATTCCAGAAGCATGGGATTTTTTACTTGTTACCAACTGAGATAATTAATATTTAGGGCTAGCTAATGCACTAACAGGAAGGAAACATGAAATTGCTTGAGAGTTCTAGTGCGAGTACACCTCTTCCACTTAGGATAATCTAGAATCCTGTATAACTATACTTGACTCTGCCAATTGACTTTATTTTCTAGCAAAATTGAACCCTTTTTCAAATATTTTGACATTTGCTGTTTTGACATTTTGATCTATGTGAACAAAAGCATTAGAATTTACAAAAAAGCATTCATATTAAAGACATTTCCACTGAAAATGAATATGCCCAATTTGTGAGTGACTTGCAAAAAACTTACAGTTCAAGATTAAATACTTCATTCTGGCATAGCATTTGTCATCTGATATTCTAAAAAAAAAAAAAAACCACCACGGAACTTCACATAGAGGTGTGTGTGCAGTTTTCTTGCTTTTTTTTTGCCTATGTAGGTTTTGACAGATTATCAAAGTCTGCTTTTGTGAACACACACAATAGGTTTTGGATCCTGCAAGTTTACCTCCCTGTGGTTCTGTGGGGTTAGTTCTTAAAAGCATTCGTCCTATGCAAATACAAGTACAAAACCAAGAACGTTGATATGTTTGAATATTCTAACACTTGTGCACACAGGGCATGTAATGGAAAGAGCATACATATATCTTAAAACTGTATAACCCAGACATACAAAATTCTGAGTTTGTGGATGGAAATATTTTTAAAATTTGTGTTTAAATATATTTATTTTTTATATATATATATATTGTAGAGATTGGTACATCTCTACCTCATCGAGGTAGGTGCAGTACGTATTTTACGAAGAATTTTTTAAAGAAACACATTCAGGTATACCACCGTGTTTGTCCAAGGCAGTGTGTCTACAAACACATGATTAAGAAGAATTCTAGATGGCCATCCTGCTAGTCTGATGGCTCTATGAGGACCAAAATGATAAAATTCACCTGAGCAAGACCCTCTGTCCAGTCCTCCATCAGGAGGAGTAGAAGAACCTGAATGCATTCTTGTTTCCTGTTACACTCACAGATTGCCATTCCAGTCTTTGTATCTTCGTTGGATATTGCCTTTACAAAAGATATTTACTAATTTAGGTGCAATTTCCTAACGCTGAGAGAAGTAGACTTCCTGCTGTGTCAGCAGGTTTGTCCAACATACTTAGGACACCTGCTTCATTATGTACAGTAGAGCTTCTGGTATTTTGCTGCTAATGGAAAAGTAAGAAGCTCAATGTTGGCAACTGGGATAGAAATACAGAAAAAAACCCACTTAATTTGCTTTAAAGTTCTTCAGATTCTGCTGTTTAAAAGGTCTGACCTCTGCAGAGAGTTCACCAAGTGCCATTATATTTGTATAGGCAGGATAAACATAGTATCATACTGTGTGTATGCAGTAATGAAAAGGTTTCACACTTGCATTTTTTTCAGTGCCTCACTACAGTCATGACGTGTTTTTAGTAGCACTTTCATTTCTGTAATGAGGATGTATATTGTATATTCCTTTGAGATAGCAGCATCATATCATATCTATGTAAGAAGGAAGAAAGTCTCTCAAATACAGATTTCTACCCCTCCAAATCAGTATTTTAGTAATCACGTGATAAGTTGGAATTAGTTTTAAAATACAGTTTCTTTGGAGGATGGATAACATCTTATAAGGTGTTTTATTTGGCTAGAGGTGTTTCTGATGCTTGTATCCTACCTCACGTATGTAGATACAAAGGAACGCAGTATCTTGAAAATCAAAGCAGTATTATTAAATAAGTTGCTGCTTACTTGGAATTAATTTTATTATTAAAAAAAAATTGCAGTTCTGAACAGATTCAAAGCGCTGAAGGTTTTAGATATTAGGTTCTGTAAGTATGTTCTGTCAGTATTGATTAATTTTCTATAGATAGAAGACAATTGCTCAAATTATGACATGCAGTATAAAAGAGCTTAGTAACAATCTAAGTAGTAGTAACTTCTGTTGGTATTATAATAGAAAAAAATGCGTTAGAATGAAACATTCTAGCTCTAAAAAGCTTTTTCTTTAATTATGTTGAGAAGACATGCTGATAATGTAAAACAGCTTTCTTCTAAAGTCACAGCACCTTGAAATAGTCTGGTTTGGAACAGCTGGCTTTTTTGGTAGATATATTTTAAGCTTATAGGTTTCTGTGTTCCTTGTAGTATGTTTATATTCAGCAAAATTAAATTCTTGTAAACTAAAGATATTTTGAAGAACAGAAGAGTTTTTAGTCCTTATTTAATAAAACAATAAGGTGTTCATTTTAAGCAGCGAGTTTTTTTTTTTTTTTTGTAGCCATATCTATAGATACAGTAACATGTTACATGAATCTGATGTCCATCACCATTTCTCTGGAGCCTTCGACCTACGACCTTTGTCCTTCCATAAACATTTCAAAAGATAAGAGCTGGAGGAGGAAGGGAGAGAAAAATGATGGGTTTATTTACCTTCTATTTATCTTCTGCTATATTCTATATGGTTTAGGTGATGGAAAAACAATGGTGTGTGGAGGTGTGTTGGGTGAAAAGTGGGATGTTAGAAATGAGTTATTAATTTGAAAGGTGCTAGAGAGATGAGTCCAAAGGTAGGGAATCAACAGATAAGTGAGACGGGAAGGCAGTTACTCGATACCAGATGACCAGTGACAGGAGTCTTCTATTCATGATGAAAGCCTAGATGAGGGAAGCTAAGTTAGTGATGATGATATTATCATTATTTATTTAAGAGAGGAGACCTGAGGATATGTTGCTTTCTTTGATTTGGAGGAAGAGGTTGGCGTGTTGAAATATATGTAAAAAATTGCATAGAATTGAGACTAGTGCCCGGAGTATGTTTGTGGAAGGAGGGTGATAGCTGCTACTGAGGTCAAATGTCATTAGTAAGGGATTTGGAATAGTTAGGTAAAAGAGGATTCTAACCTCCGTAAGGAGGAAGATAAGGTTAAGGCAGCATCCATTTAAATGCAACACTAAAAATGAGGCAAAAGAGGCCAAGATATAAGCCATTTGGAAACAAGAGCTCTCAAAGCTGCCTAATAGCAACAGTCTTTACAGGTGCACACTGCAGATAGCAATATATAACCATCGGTAATGATG